TAAGCAGTGATCTCTCCGGTCACGGTTTGGATGGGTGACCGAAGTCGTAGAGTGCGGGGCCCATCCAAACGGTGGAATGAATGGGAGAATAAATGAGAAGATTGAATGGGAAGGTGTAGGGCATCCAAATGGTGGTACAATAAGCCCGTGAGGCTTCAGTGCCACCATGCGAACCCCAAGAGGGAAAAAGCAGATTGGAACCCAATCTTGCTTGGGGGAGCCCCCGGTCTGGAACCAAGCCTGATTGGGGGAATAAGCTGAAACCCCTCAAGGGGGGAGCAGCGGGATGCCTGAAAGGGTGAAAAAAAAAAATTCCCGTTGTTTTCATTAAAGTACTTGTACTTGTCTATTACAAATTTTAAGTATTTAAATACTACTGTTTTATTTAAAAATGAAACATACTGATTAACAATGTTTATAAATATGTTTATAAACATTGTTAATCAGTGCTTGTACTGCATATCAGTAAGTGCACTGTGTACTACCACGTACAGTTCTGTAACTGACTGGAAAGCAGTACTGCACTATCCTCATGGTAAATAGCTGTTCACCGAATGGTTTTATATGCTACAAAATGTTTTATAAAAGTGTCTTAGTAAATCCACTTGTATATAGTTTTAGTGATCTACAGGAATATTGGACACAATTAAGTTTTTTACTTTTAAATGTAAATATTTCACACAGAAAACCCATTAAATTATAAAGACTGTGGGTTCCTCTGTTAGATTTCATATTTAAATCTTTGTAAACTTATTCGCAATTGTTTTAGTTTCCAAATAAGAAATAAACAGTTAGGATTAAGAAATTAGATAATTCTGATTGAGACCTTATTGGTAAAACTGTGATAGAGAATAATAAAATTTACCTATTGGTTTCTTCAAGACTTGTCTTTTTGAGCCTTTCACTGGCCTTCGCAAGCCATTGGCCCATCACTAATTCTCATCTTTGGAAGTAACATTTCTATTGTAGATCTGAACTGCACCTAAAATAAGAGAATATAATATAGTTCCATGTAACAGGCGAGTCCAATATGTATTGTGTGACAAAGTGAATATCATTACACAAACAAGGCGAGTATGATATCCATAAAGCCTGCGATAATAATTTATTGACTATCTTAGTCCTTCTCGATTATTCAAAAGCATTCGATCTTATTAACCACAAACTCCTACTAGCGATCGTGCATTATCTTGGATTTTCAAGAAAAACTACCGCCTTAATGAGTAGTTAAATAAAACAACTTCTGAATTTTTAAACATCTGCTCTGGGGTTCCTCAGGGCTCAATTTTAGGACCTCTTCTATTTGTCATCTATACATCACAGCTGCCACTTGTTTTAAAATACTGTGCATCCCATACTTATGCAGACGACACTCAACTATACCTTTCCTTTGAAAAGGAAAATATTCAAGAAGCTTGCGTAAAAATTAATGCTGACCTCATCTCTCTTGCTAGACTTTCTGACAAATATTGTTTAAGTATAAATCCAACTAAATCCGTAGTCCAGTTATTTGGACGTCCTACAGCTAGAAAAAAGATTATTAATTATGTGAACATTAGCTTGGATGGTCAACAACTGCCGCTTCTTTCATGTGTTAAGAATCTAGGTATTCATATAGATAATTCACTTCGCCTCTCGTCTCATGTGACAAATATTGTAAGAAAATCCTATAGTAGTTTAAAACTCCTATATGCAAATAAAAGCATATTGAATAAACGAACTAAAGCCATGTTATGTGATTCTCTTGTCCTATCTCACGCCAATTATGGCGATGTGGTCTATGGACCAAGTTTGTTAGGTGTTGATAAAACTCGCTTACAAAAGATACAAAATTCGTGTGTACGTTTTATTTGTGGACTTTACAGACGTGATCATACTAGTCAACACTTAAAGGAACTGGGTTGGCTTAATATGGCGGAAAGAAGAACATTGCATGCATGCTCAATGTTTCGCAAGATTATGGTAACTCTAACGCCTGCTTACTTATATAATAAAATTCAATTCCGCACTGACGTCCACAACCTTAACATTCGTTTTAAATCTAAACTCACGCCGCCTTTACACAAAACAACCTTATATCAAGAATCCTTTTCATATTATATTTCCTGGCTTCTAAATGGATTACCGCTTAGCTTCTCTAAATTTTCTCTTGGTAAATTGAAACATACATTAAAAGAAGACTTTTTAAATGGCAAACTGCGCAATATCATTAAGTAATACGATAGGATAATTTTATTATATAGCATAATTTCATTATACACGTTTTTCCGTTCTTCTATTAGCAATTTCTCACCTAATATAAATTGTTTTTCATTATTTTTGTTTGTTATACTATGCCAAGTTTTGTAACACCCTAGTTAAGATTATATGTATTTTAAGTTAATACTTATTATTTTAGATATAATTTTAGTATTAGTTCTTCTTTTTCCATTTTTTTTTATTGAGGTTGAGTGGAAGAGCAGCTTCTATATTTGCTTATGCAAATCTGAAAGCTGAACTTTGCCTTTTGGCTAATTATTTTTAATAAATTATACTATTTTAATTTTGTAATTTTCACATGCCAATAAAACCATATTTATTTATTAGTATCGCTTTTGCTTCCCTTTCCATGACTTCGCACGGAGCGAATACATTTTTTTTTACAAAAAGTAAGTAAAAACAATACAATAAGCAACTGGAGTTGCTGTGTTAAAAATTGTAAAAATATAGCAAAAAAAACTGTAAATTATAAAAATTTTCAACAAAGTAGAAATTAAATCAAAAAAATAAATAGATAGGTGTACAATAAGAAGCGAAATTACTTTTATTTTTGTAATAATAACAAGTAATACTGGAAATAGTAGACATCAGAAACTTGAAAGGTTTTAGATAAACAATAAATTATCATTTTACGATGTTCTTTAACATTCCTTTAATCTTAAATGTTCAGCAAGAACTAGATTACTGCCTTTGATTATTGTATGTGGCTGGAATGCAATTTTGTGACTTACTGATAGAAAACCAGTTTTAATCATTCATTCTGTTTTCTTTCGAACAAAAATGAAAATAAAAATAACGATCCTTATGTTTATACATTTTAACTTCACGCTATTATTTAAAGGCATTTTTTATTTTGACAGAATAGGTTAATCCTTCAAAGACAACTTATTAGACTTGGGCCACTTCTCATACATTTTCCCGTAAATACGCCTGCCTATATTTTTTTGTTGATTATACTTAATTTTTTTAGTTTAAGAGATAAAATATATAATAATAAATTAATGTTTCACTTGTTTTACAAATTTAAATACTTTCATTTAAACTAACATATATAATGTTTAATTACGAATTCTATTAAAAATTGTATTCTCAGTATACGCAAAAATAGTCCATTAGTACATAAATGAATTGGCGCTGATGTCACGCACGCGGCGAATACTTTCCTTATCTGCATAGACAGGAAAGTAAAAATCTACAGGTTTATTAGACAATAATATTTTTTCTTTCTGTCTTTACCCTCTCAGATCACTCATTTATTTTTCCCACTTTTTCCTAGGTTTGTGATAGCCTACCTATCTAGGCGTGGCCCAGTTATCTTTTTTTTTGGAATTTAATAAAATCTGTTATTAATTTTCTTTCACAATTTTAATATCTTCTTTAATATACTTCTGTCAATATCGCGATTAGAGCAAGAGCCTGTGGCGATCGGACCTTCGTTATTATATAAAACCTGATAGTTTATTTGTGTATGTCCCTAATATAGGTAAAGACAGTCCCCGATTATGAAATTTGGACACGATGGCTTTGAAAGGTAACAGGTAGCAAAGGTATATGAAATTGTATTTCAAATTCGTTAAAAGTATAAAGCTCAGCTTTTATATATTTTACTTGGACTAATATTGTCAGACACTTAATACAGTTGCAACTCTCTGTCAGATAACCTTAAATTATAATAAATCATAACTATACTTACGTTATAGTATAAAAGCTGAATTTTATATATACTTGAGGAACCATCAGAAAATGTTTTCTAAGTAGTCAGACAGTTTCGATGCTTCTTACGTCTTATCGGACACATAAAAAGTCTACCGTAGGTTTGAGTACGAGTAAAATAGTGCGCTCGTTCTTCTACGATCTTTCATTGCGCATGTTTCATTTACTCAGTATTATTTGTTTTTTTGATTTAGATAATTATTTCTAAATTATGATAATTTATTGGCGACCGGTTTCGAAGAGATTACTTTATCATCAGGCACACTTAAATGGAAAATCATGGAGTCAATGTTAACTCCAATACTTTCCATTCACATCTTGACAAACCTCACCCCTAAAAAATAAGTACATCGATCAGGGATCGAACCTGAAACCTTCCGATTAGAGCCACCGATGGCTTTATCAATTGGACCACCAAAGCATATGGCTACGACGGTAATAGGTAAAAAAAATACTATTTTCTTCATCAACACTATATTTACTATTTTTTTTTTCACACATTACAATTAATATTCTTTCGATTCAATAAAATTTAACAAAAATTATTCAAATAATTTACTTATAAAGACTATCACAGATGACAAAATTTGCACATTTCAGTCATAAAATATATTTTTGTTCATATGTACTTATACAGGGAGGACCGGATTTAATATATCATAGACTGCATGTCGGTTAAATGGAGAAAAAAGTTTCATATTTCGACTGATAATTCCATTGTCCATGCCCCCTCCTCCCTCCGAGATGAAAATTCTTACGATTTATGAACCTTTTATTCAAAAAATATTCGCTAAAAAGGGAATGGCTAAAGGCAATGCCCTCCCCCTCCGAAAATTCGTCTTGGAGCCGCTCTTGTCGTCAAAGTGAACGTCATTTCAAATTTGTATACGTCAGAAAATTAAAGAAATTGAGCGTGTAGAAAAATAAGAGACATCATAGAACATTTTATGCTTCTGCCAAAATGTTTTCCTAACTTTTCTCATTCAACCGACTCTATAACTTTAACAATAATATAATTATGTTAACCACTCTTTACAACATAATAGAAAAGTTCCTAAACAACCTCATTTACCGCCACCGTCGCCGGCCTGATTAGCTGTTTTTGTTGATCGACAACGATTTCCGCAGATTTTTTTCTCCTTTCGAAATAGCAGAACCAAACAGTCAATGGCACCAACAACAATCCAAAGGGTATGAAAAATAACAACGAATAAAACTCGTTATTAGATTTCTTGCTCGGAACACTTATAGTAACGTTCTGATCGTCTTTACCGAACTGATTAACGGCTAAACAGATGTACGTTCCGCTGTCTACATCTCTAGCGTTAAATATCAAATATTTGCTGAGATACGTGCTCCCCGTGTTGTAGTTCGAGATAGAGGTGTTGATGTGACAGTAACAGGTCTGGTGATAACGGAAGTCGCATTTGTGACCGAAACAACTCTTGAACCAGATAATCGTGGGTGGAACTTCGCTGGTTACCCTGCATTGAATAGTGAATTCCATGTTAATGGGACCGGTTATATTTGAGATTTGCAATGGATTAACTTTTGGAGGTGCGCCATTGTAACCTGGATCTAAAAGATAAATAATATAGTTAGAACATTAAGCAACTCTAGTGACCTAATATTATTTTAGAATCTACACCTTTTAAGTTTCTTATTTTAAAGAAGAATCAGGATCTTTATGCGGGATGGAAAGGTAAGAATAGGTGCGTAGGTACATAACATTATAGAAATAGTTCGCAGGGTGATTAAGAAAAGCAGTACCTACTCATTTTCAAGTAAAGGTCAGAATAAGTGAGAAAAAATACATTGCTGAGATGAAGATGCTGCGGTGAGAAATGAACATATTAAAGTATCGTTAGGAATTGCATCTGTAAAGATGAGAGAGAATAAATAGGTTTAGATAGTATGGCCCCATGTTCAAATAAGCAGTAGACATAACACCTTAATATTAAAATTAAACCATTTTATTTAATTACTTAGAAACTTACCATAAACATCCAACATGAATAATTTAACGGAACCATCATTTTGAGAACATCTGTATAGTCCGCTATGTCGTTTACTAGCCGACTCAAAATGTAGTCTGCCTCTAGTTTCGTTTTCCAATTTTCTCCAATGGCGATTTTCGTTACAAACTATTCCATAAAAATTCGAATCGCATGGCTGTAAATAAAATTTCGTTATTAGGTTTTTGTCATTCAATGGACTATAACAAAGCATTGGAATAATTTTTAGTCACATTTATGTAGAAACAATCAATCAAGGTCTTTATTTTTGTAAGAATACATTACACAGGCCCGTGAAAATTTTGTGATATAGCCATTTTATTTTTTTTACCTATTTACAACTTCTATATAGCTAAAATAATCCCCTTTTCATTCTATCACGTCAACTTTTTTGTAAACTAGTATCAAGGGTATTATCACTAAACATCACAAACAAATTAATTTGAATTCCTTATTTTTGTTCAAAACGATGAGATGCGTTAAAACCTCTTTTTAATTGGCGCATTTGTAGAGGGATTTACCGGTACTTACTAGAATATTGTTGGGGATTCCCCAAGACTCGATTTATTCAGGAAAAAGGGCGATATATTTAGTATCCTCGTGGTATTGAGACAGGCGTTGTCTATCGAATTCTATCGGTGTTTCGTTGTGCACTTTCTATTAAAAAAATGTCTAGTAGGTATTGTAAAAATAGGCCTGATGACTTTTGTTATGTTTGTGGACACTTTATAGTGAAGAAGTTTAAAAGAAACATTACTGATATCGTAAAAAATGCATATTTTGCATATTTTAAAGTCAGACTTGGAGATCAAGATAAACTTTGGGCGCCATATGTTATCTGCAAGATTTGCGAAGAAGCCTTGAGGCATTGGTTTAAAGGAACAAGAAAAGCTTTACCGTTTGGAATACCAATGGAATGGAGAGAACCTAAAAATCACATTGACGACTGCTATTTTTGTCTTTGTGATATTAAAGGTCAATAACACAAAACCTCAGCATATTAACTATCCTAATCTTTCGTCTGCAAGAAGACCAGTTCCACATGACGCTGATATACCTGTACCTGTTCCAACTAAAGTATTACATTCTATCGAATCAGAATCTTCAACAGATTCAGAAATTGACATTTTTGAGCCATCTACCTCAGAAACCCGTGAACCGCAACTATTTTCTCAAGTAGAACTGAATGACTTAGTCTGAGATTTTGGGATCAAGGCTTAAAGAAGAAAAATTACTTGCTCCAGGTACTACATTTTATTGGTATAGAAATCGTGAGGCTGAATTTGTCAATTACTTTGCCGCAGCTAGTTCACTTGCATATTATCAAAATGTATATGACTTGGTTATTCACCTAGGTGCTCCTGAATACAATCCTGCCGAGTGGAGACTTTTTACAGACTCTTCAAAGAGAAGTCTTAAAGCTGTTTTACTTCATAATGGCAATTTATATGCATCTGTTCCTGTTGGTCATTCTACTCAGCTAAAAGAAAATTACGAAAATCTTGAGGCACTGCTTTTAAGAATAAACTACAGACAACATAACTGGATTCTATGTGGCGACCTTGAAATTTTAGGGTTGCTTTTAGGTCAAACCGGATATATGAAATACCCATGTTTCCTATGAGAGTGGGACAGTAGAGCAAGAGATGACCCTGGACCCAAAAAAACTGGCACCAAAGAAAAAATTTAACGCCTGGCTCCAAAAACATAATTCGGGAAAGCCTAGTTGATCCCGAGAAAATTTTATTACCCCCTCTACATATAAAATTGGGTCTAATGAAACAATTTGTCAAAGCTCTAGACAAAAATAGTGGTTGCTTTAAGTACTTGTGTGAAACATTTCCGGGTCTCTCTGAAGCTAAATTAAAAGAAGGCATCTTTGTTGGGCCACAAATAAGAAGATTGATGAAAACTAATGAAATTGAGTCTGTTATGCAGGAAGACGAAAAAGAAGCATGAACAGCTTTTAAACAAGTTATAAATAAGTTTCTAGGAAACTACAAAGGCCCTGAATTTAAAAGTATTGTTGAAAACATGTTGGACAAATTTAGAAAGTTAGGCTGTAACATGAGCTTAAAAATTCATTTTCTACATGCTCATCTTAACTATTTTCCGCTTTCATTAGGACATAAAAGAGATGGAACGGCGATATCAAGGGCGCTGGGATATCAAAATGATGGTCGACTACTGTTGGATGTTGAAAAGGGACCGTCCTACCGCAGAATATGCACGAAAAACAACAAAAAGAAGCTTTTCCGGAAGGAGAGAAAGATTTTTCAAGAAAACAAACGATTAATGTATGTTATTTTTTAACTACTTCCCCGGTTTTAGTGTTTGTTTTCTTGGTTTATTATTTTCTTTTTTATCCTAAGTATCTATAAATATATTTCTACTTTTTGCATATTTGTAGTATTTTGTTCAAAAACCTTACCTGATAGAAAAAACTAAAAGCAGATTTGAATCAGCGTCACTGAAATACCCAATTTCAGTTATTAAAAAGTTCAATTCACATTTTACAGAGTATTTAAACGCAGGCCTGTGTTATTTATTCATCCATGTAATTAAGGATTCGAAAAAAAATTGTATTAAAAACTAATATTATTATTCCCGCTCAAAACAGATTAATAACTACACATTATTACAAAGTTGCCATGTGTTATATTCGGAAGGCTAACATTTTCGTTTTTTTTTTCTCATAATACGTTTAACTGGTTGATTATTTTTGTTCTATGTAGTGTTATGGCTTTGGTAGTAACTACAAAATCAGTCAGTCTCAGTTTAATTGTCTTTTTCTCTATCAATGTGTAAGTTCTTATATAGGCTTTGTTACTGTTTCTCAGCCCAGCGCCATTTTGGAAACTAGTAATCTAATTAAGAATCTTTGTATATCACATTTCTGGTTTGGCTCTCATCTGTTAGTAACATCAGATTGCTTCCGGAACTAACTCTTTAACAAACTACAAAAAATGTCCGTAAGAAAAGCAGTGCCCCTTAGGCAGGGCCGTAACTAGGCATAGGCTGACTAGGCCCTTGCCAAATTTGAAAAGAATTGCCCAACCTGCTATATGGCAGTGTTGGCCAACCTTGATTGAGCTGAATGAAATTGCGTCAGATTTTGAATTCCTAGATGGGTCTTCGTTGTCCAAAATATATATTAGTACTTTAAAAACACATATTAAGGATTTGTACTTGAAATATACCAACGATTTGGATGTAGTTGAATTTGTCCAAGAGGCAGAAAGCTTTACATTTCAAGCCAAAGAACTTTTTGATTTGGAAAAGCTTTCGATATTTGAAATATACCAAAACTTAATTAAATTCGACTTACTTTCTGAATATCCAAACATTTCAATTCAAATTGTTTAACCTCACCCGTGACAAGCGCAACTTGTGAACGTTCTTTTTCCAAATTAAAGCTTGTTAAAAGTTATTTAAGATCAACAATGTCACAGGAAAAATTAAGTCACGTAGCTAATTGCTATAGAAAGATAAGTAACAGAGTCGATTTCTTTTGATACATACCGATTAAATTTTGCCTTACAGAAAGCCCGAAAAGTTCGTTTCTAATTAAGTTTTTATATTTTTATTATTCTTAAGTAGTTAGTAATTTTCGTGTACCTATTTGTTTTTGTATTGTTGTTAAGGTTTTATCTGTTTCTTTTAAGCTATTTCATAGCTTTTATCGCGGGCTTTGAGGGTGGCGACCGAATCAAGAAATTTCGTAATTCCGTAACGAAAATAAACCTAACACCCCCCACTCCGACCGACACAGCGGTGCGGCGTTAAAGCCATGAAAGGTTTTATCCGACCCTATTCGTATTAGTATTAAGCGGAGTTAAATATACGTTTGCGGACTGGAACATTTATGCAGTACAAGAACTAGAAGAGCTTTCTCTGGCTTCTAATAAATTGGTATCACAAATGTTCCCGGCTGGCGTAAATATAAGATATTAATTTTTAAGCTATTGCATAGCTTTTATCGCGGGCTTTGAGCGCGGCGATTGAATCAAGAAATTCCGCGAAAATAAACCATTGTCTAACGTCGTTTCAGTTCGGCAGACTTCGGCACGGTGTTTGTGTGCGTGCGACTAGACGTATGCGTGTAGACTAGCTGCTAACTGCTCATAACTGATTCTATCTCTTTTAGACAAAATTGAATTTGAAAATGAATAATGATCCACGAATCCACAACAAAATATGGGACCACCATTGACGCGGTATTTTCCAGATATTTAGAGGATATTAAGTCTCAAACCTATGTTTCTTATTTCAGTTACCATAAACCTATAGTTTCAATGATAAAAATTCGTGAATAACCTACATGTATTGTAAGATAATAAAAATATTTTAAACAATATTAACTTCTCATTTGTTCAATAAAAGAAAAAAAATTGTTTTCTTATCGGTCACCACGCTCAAAAAGTGTAACTTGAATTAATATCAAAGAAAAAAATACTGCATAAATAAAAAAAATAAATAATTATAATTGCATAAGTTGATAAAAAATGTTATGCAATAGCTTTACCGCGGCAGTCCCCGAGTTACATACGTATTTTTTATTTAGACTTTACACGTCATATAGGTACCTAGGTTAAGTTTTTGTTGTTAATTTTGAAATTTAAAAATTATATATTTTACTATATAATTTTATACTGTTTTATTTTTAACTAAAAATTCCAATTTTTAAGTTCCTAACTTCATACAAAGTCTAACATTTATTTTCATTTAGTTTCACTTATTTTCACTTATTTTCACTTATTTTCATTTATTTTCATTTATTTTCATTTATTTTTATTTATCTTTATTTATTTTTATATATTTTTATTTAATTTAATTTGTTTTTATTTTCATTTAGGTATTTTATTTATTTTATGTCTTTTTCATTTATTTTATTTATTTTTATTTATTATTACTTATATTTTTATTTATTATCTTTTTAGTTATTATATTTTGTTATTTTTATTAAATTTTATTTATTTTCATTTATTTTTATTTATTTTTAGTTTTCTTTGCCTGTTTTTATTTATTTTTACTTAATTTTACATATTTTTATTTATTTGTATTTATTTTTACTTAGTTTAACTTATTTTTACATATTTTTACTTATTTATTTTTACTTATTTTTATTTATTTTTTTAATTTATGTTTATTTTTTATTTATTTTTACGATATTTCCATACAAACTTTCACTTCCTATTTCCTCTCCTCACCCTTAAATGTGAAAATTCAAAAACCCTGAAACACGTCATTATTTATTTATGATGAATAGCTACAATGTTCAAGTGCCTACTTTTAAAAAAACGTTACTCCCATCCAAACTTTCACCCTCTATTTCTCCCCATTAAAATGTAAAAATCCTGAAATATGTCATTATTTATTTATGATGAGTAACTATAATTCCAATTTTCAAATTCCTACATTCAAAAAACAGTTCCTCCATATCCTCTCCATATCCCCCTTTTAAAGTTGAAATTTCCAAAAATCCTTTTTGAAAATGTGTACCAATTTCGAATACAACTTTTGAAACATTAAAAAATATTCGATTAGTGAAAACCTTGCCAAATACATAATTTTTAGTTTAGGGTAATATTCTGTAGGACATCCGGTACGTCACAATTGTATAAAATGGGTTAAACCACTAGGACAATCTATATAAATCTTTACATACAATAAAGAATGTTCTTTGATCTAAGACACCCTGCTGTACGAGTAGCACATAATTCTTGACATCTGCTTTTGGTAGCGCTGGAACTTGTTTAATTTTAAAGCGAACGATTAGGTACAAATTAATTATGTTTATGTTTACGAAACACTGTGATTGATACAACAAACAAACCACAAATCTATCACCACGTATAAACACGTGCTTAACTTTTTTGCAACTCTTTAAGACATATCACCATACACCGGAAATAAACAACCGTTTTAGAAAAGAATATTGATTTACTTTTTTTTTTCTAACACCGTCTCGTTTAAATTTATTTATTTATTTCAAATTAATTTTTTTTATTAAATATGAAAATTTGATTCTCTGCCATGTAAAACATATAATTTTTTCTCCAATTGTTAATACAGTGTGTTTAAAAAAATTAAACTAAAATGAAAACCTCTACAGATATAATTCACGTATTGTTAATATTTATTTTATAACTATATACCTTCAATTCTTATACAAATATACTTTGTAGTTAGATAATTTATTAGAGTAACTTTTTTGGCCGGATGCTCATGCAGAGTAAGATTTCAAAAGAGAAAAGAAGAAAAAGTAATTTTGTAATGCCCATAGATAGTAAAAATAATTTGGAATGCCTAGGCAGTAAAGTGTTACTTCTATGATCGAGAAATGTTACTAAAAGTGCCATTTAATGCCAATCGGAGAAAAAATTATTTTTAAATTCTTGACTTTACGAATTTTTAAAAAATCTAATATTTGATAAAAAATTGAGACATCTAGAATAAAATTCACCAATTTTAAAAACCCTAAAAAAAATGTTGTTATGCGGGGTATTGATTATAGAATTTTTTTCACGTTATGGTCTACAAGAGTAAAGCTTGGCGTCACAGCTATATACGCATTCACACTACATATAAGGTGGTTAAACGCTGCTCCGATTTATTATCCAGCAGTTACGCATCTAACAAGTGACCGAAGACAACATTGCTTTACTACGAGAATCGCCGAGGGAGTAACATATTCAAATTAGCTTATAAATAGAAAAACGTCGCCATACGTACCTTAAAATGCCATTTTGCCCTTTCGTGATGACATTTAAACGTTAAAGGTGTTCCATTTTTCACTCTCATAGTTTTAGTTTCTTGTTGAGGAACGTCAAATGGGTAATCATTGAACATTTCTGAAAATAACATACATTTTTTAAGGCGAAATAATGGCGATAGATTACAAACCAATATACATTTATACGGTTATAGAAAAAGATTACATTTTAAATCAAGTATAATAAATTTTATCCACGGATAAAATCAAAATTTTGATACATTCCCTTGTGGGATTCCCTTAAGGAAAGATGAAATAAAACAACAAGATGTATAGTTGCCGAGGAGCTTTTAAGTTACTCCAACACTAGAGCAAACAAATATTTGACTAGACATAATCTGCAACAGATCACTATTCTGACTGGTCATTGCCAAGTACGAAAGCATATCCACACCTTGGTGTAGTGTTTACAAGTGTCGGGTCAGTAGTCCAACTGACGGATTACACGACTGATGAACACGTCACGTACGAGTACTAGTTTTTGTAACATGTGTTTTCAACAAAAGAATTAAAAAACAATCGTGTATTTAATTAATATAAGATTAAACGCGATACATGGGACTGTCAGAATCCGCACTCTGTAGGGGTGCGAACAAGAAGATCAGAACATCGAGAATATATTCTATTGTTTTTGAAAACAAGGCGTATCTTTTCTAATACATCGTCACTGGAAAGGCAAAGGAGCGTAAGTTGAAAAATGTCCAATTTGAATTAAGACCACCACAAATCTGATAAAGTGGATATCTATGACATCCTTATACTTAATCAACATAATATAGCAAATTAATATACATACGCAATGCACTATGTACCAAAAGTTTAATTGCCTTTCCTGTAAAATAGCTAAATTGGAGTTACGCCTTTTTGTCTTACCAGCGAAGACATGATCGAATGCTCTAACCAGTAAATAAATAAATTAAAATAGAAAAAATGTAAAATACTGTAATTCGTCATATGTAAATCACATCCTGTGGAACTCTAACCTCCAGAGGCGCTACTTGTTATAAACTTTTCTTATCTGACAAAATTAAAAGTATTATTACATAATTGTATTTATTTGATTTGAGATATAGTGAGTCTGAATAACGGAATTCAACTATCTAGATATTAAAATGACTTATTTGTGTTCCTTAATTTAGTTACTAAGCACAATTTAAAGTATCGATTATACCTAACTAAAAATAGTACCTATACAGATAAGTCTTATCTTAAATATTAATATTTAAAGGTGTTGCTTAGCGCCTTCCACTGTTAACCAATTACTACTACTGTGCACCTTGAAAAAAGTATTGATAAGTAAATATAGACTTTCGTTATCAATTTATCATTTTATTTGTATTTATAAAATAAATCAAATTTTTTGTGATCTAAGAATTTTATTGTGGAAAACAAATTCTTAATTTTTAAAGAACAAAAAACGGCTAAAAAAATGTAGTAACAACAAGTTATAGAAGTAATTTTAAAAAACTGACTCCAAAATCGTGCAGATGCCACTACAAATTGAGATTGCTGATTTTATCATAGATCCCATAATCAGATCTTGACCAAATGTATATGGGACCATCCCCATTCTTACAAAAGAAAATCATAAAAATCGAACATCGTGCTAAAGAATTATTACTGAGCATACATACAAAATGAAGAGATTGATGGTTTTCTTATGATGCCATTATCACATCTTGACCAAATTAATATGGAACCACTCCTGAGGTAACCTCTTTCTAACAAAATAGAATCATGAAATCGAACAACGTGCTAAAGAATTATTGCTGAACATACATGAAAATATAAAGATTTTAATGATTTTCTTATGGACGCCATTAATAGAACTTGGCCAAATTTATATAGGACCATCCCTGAGGAACTCCCTTTCTAAGAAATAAAGAATTAAATAAATCGGACAACGTGTTAAAGAATTATCACTGAACATATATAAAAAATGAAGAAATTAATGATTCTCTTATGGAGACCAAATCTTGACCAAATTTATATGGGACCATCTCTGAGGTACCCTCTTTCTAACAAAAAGAATCATAAAATCGAACAACATGCTAAAGAGTTATTACTGAACATACATAAAAAAATTAATAGTTTGATATCTTATGAACGCCATAATAGATCTTGACTAAATTTATATGGGGCCATCCATAAAGAACCCCTTTTCTTACGAATAAAAAAATCATAAAATCGGGCAAGCTAAAGAATTATTGATGAACATACATAAAAAAAATGAAGAGATTGATGATTTTCTTATGATCTCATTATCAAATCTTGGCCAAATGTATATGGGACTAACAAAAAGAATCATGAAATCGAACAACCTGCTAAAGAGTTATTGCTGAACATACATAAAAAAAAATGAAGAATTTATGACTTTCTTATGAATGCCAAAAAAATGAAGAGATTGATTTTCTTATAAATCCCATTATCAGATCTTGATCAAATTTATATGGGATTTCCCTGAGGTACCCCCTTTCTAACAAACAGAATCAAATAAATCTGACAACGTGGTAAAGAATTATCGCTGAACATAGATATTCATAGATATTCAGACGAATTGAGAACCTCCTATGATTTAACGTTTATGTTATCCTTAACGTATATGTTAGGCCGAATTTTAACAGTAACAAAGCAAGTTCGTGTGATGAAAAACTTTTTTTTAACACATTACTGTTATTTTACGCCTGTTATGATCTAATTTAACAGTTTTCCATCTTAGGAACTTGCCTCATTACTGTTAAAACTCGACCTAACATGTACGTTACGGATAACGTAAACGTTCAATCATAGGACCCATTGAGAGCTTTCTTTTTCAGAGTATACTGTTTTTGGTGTATGAAACCCTATAACGTCAAAAAAGAACGACTAATAACGTTCTACAATTGACAAGAACTCTGTACATCTGATATCGAGTAAGTGCTTGGGGGAAGAAGGGAAAACTGGGGGTAGTTGCTGCAGATCAACAAGCACCGTTAAAAAAAAGCACTAATGAGAGCTTTCTTTTTAAAGGTATACCCACAAAGCATGTATCTTCTAGAGACCCCACGCCAATGTTAAACTTTTAAACCAAATTAGCGCCACCTTGTGTTTGGAGCTGGAACTAAAATGACAATTGACAGATGGCGGTAAATTCAAATTGTAATTTTTAGGAGTAGGTAGTAGTTTTAAATTAAATTTTAAATGATTTCCACATAAATTATTTTATAAAATAAAGTATGGAACTAGTAAGTTCGAAACTTTTATTTTACAAAATAATTTAGGTCGATTATACCAAATTTGAAGAATTAATTTGTTATAAGGGGTCTAATGTGGAGAGTTGGTTCTGCATATTTTTATTAAATAAATATAAGATATATCAATAAATAATAAAATAGAACATTCTTAAAATATGTTTATTAATAACTTACATAAATATTATTAGATAAAAATAAATACAAATAATAATACATATTTAACAAATACTTACTTGGAGCAAATAGATATATAATCTCAAATCTTTAAAACACCTATCAATAATTTAAATGTGAAGTAGAGACTAGGATATTACATTTTATTAACACTAAAGTTATATATTTTATAAATGTCTTTTTAACTGAGGACAAATGTAATATAGGTATTGTATTAAAAGGTGAATCCTTTTAACTATTCATTCAATGATAAATAGGTATTTTCCTTCCAAATACAGATGGTGGTATTACTCTCTTATGTGAAAAATGATTTCGGAATCTAGTCCAGTGATAAATTGATTATCAATTATTTGTTGTCCCCGTTTGTCTTTTTATGATGCAGATGCATAGTGAATATATGGTGAATCAATGAAGTTTTTCTCGAAGTTTTCAACGTAGCACCAAAATTATTGCAAAACACAGTAGGAAATAAAAAGGCGAAACATCACAATTTTGCAAATAACTAAGACGAAACTATAAACAGAAACCAAAAGCCAAAGCCAACAAAAAATCACTAAAATTAGACGGAAAAATCTGATGTGTCCAACACATGACTTTCCTATCTAGTTATTACGTAAAAACAAAAAAAATCAGAATTTTGCACATTTTGTCAAATTTCTCGAATACGGACCATTTCAGGAAATTTTGACATAAAACAAAAATTATAGAAAATAATATTAGAAGTAACTGTTAATTGAACAATTTTCTTCTCCAAACATAAATAACAGATATATTCCATAAAATATAAAAACGGTCTCCCATAAAGTACCCCCCCAGATGTTCCGACTTTGTCCAAAATCTAATCATTGCACGTCAGGCCGAAATAAACCTTAAGTTTAAAATTTAATGTTTTTTTCTATATCCGTTTTTGAGTTTTCTTCAAAATTCGAAATTTACACATTTTCTCAAATATCTCGAATACGGTCCATTTTAGAGAAATTATGTATAGAATAAAAATTATAGAGAATTATATTACAAACAACTTTTATTTGAACAATTTTTATAAAAAATTATTTTTTTTACATTTTGTCAAATTTCTCGAATACGGACCATTTTAAGAAAATTTTGCATATAACAAAAATTATAGATAATTATATTAGAAGTAACTTTTATTTGAAGAATTTTCTTCTTCAAACGTAAATAACAGATATATTCCATAAAATATAAAAATGACCACCTATAAAGTACCCCCCCAGATGTTCCGACTCTGCCCAAAATCTAATCAGCTCATTGGACGCTGAAACAAAGCTTAAGTATAAAATTTGGTGTTTTTCTGTGTATCGGTTCATGAGTTATGCGTTATACAGACACACACACACACACACAGACATCATCGCGAAAATAGTCAAAACGGATTCAGGGGACCTCAAAACGTAAAAATCCGTCGAAAACTCGAGGTCGAAAAAAATCATGATTCCTATACTTTCCTTATATCTGTATACAGATAGGAAAGTAAAAATGAAACTAACCAAGAACATAAATAAATACACGTCACATCTTTGGAGTCTTTGGTTAAGTTTTTCTCCCATAAGGCTTAAAAATGGAGTAAGAAATCATAATTTCACCAGTAGCCCCATCTAGAGTTTGGAGCAAATAGCATAAAAAATGTCAGTTGTCGGTTTTGACCTTGGTC